GCTTGCCAGCCCCTCACTCTCTGGCTCATTCGCTCCAAGCCTTCCACTCGGTCCTTTTCTGTCAGGAGCTTTCCTGAGTTCCCAGCAGCCTAGACTTACCAATGAGTCCTCCCACTCTAAGCCCAGTGAGGGCCAGGGTGGTTGGGGTCCTGCCTGCTGCAGGACCTGCAGCTGCCGCCAGAGGAACACCAGCTCTGGGGAACAGAAAGACCTTGCCAAAGTAAACTGGAGTCTAAGGGCGACCTGGGGGCGCTGAGTAACCAGGGGTGCTGTTGCTGTTCAGTGGCGCAGGGAACATGGCCTGCCCCTGCTCTTTGCTGGACTGACCTGTCCATCCCTTCCAGGTGCTACTAAAAGCTGACACTGGGGACCAGCAGTTAGCGTAATGGCTATGTCGCTGGACTCCCATGTAGTTGACCGCAGTTCGAGTCCAGACCTAGTGACTTAAACACACCAGGCGCGTGTGTGCGTGCGTGCCCAAGATCCCGAGAGGAGAATGGAGAAGGGATTGCGGTGTGGCCATCCCCCCTGGGGGGTGATTTCTCGCTTTCTGTCTTTCTGGCAAGAACCTCTCAACAACAACAAAAAAAAAAAACTGAAACTGCACCTTTGCCCTGAGGGAGACAGGTAACAAAGTAACAGTGCAGGGAGAGAGGTAACAAAGTGACAGTTCGGGAAACAGTAACCCATGGGGACAAAGGCATGACAAAGGGACGAGAAACCTAAGCCTGGCTGAGTGCCTGTGAGCAGGTCCCCTGCTCTGCTTTCCATCCACTTTATGCTTCTCCTCCACCCCCTTCCGGAGTCTCCACCTGCAGCCTCATCCCTTGTCCTTGGGTCCTCTGGGGCTCTCTTGTGTCGCATGTTGTGACCCTGTCACTCCTCCAGACAGGCAAGACCTTGACACCAGACGCCTGTGTGTTCAGCACAGGCCAGCCCAGGAAGGGACTCAGTGACCATAGGGGTGGGGGGTAGGACGAAAGCTGATCTCCGCGTGGGAGAGGGAGCCTCTCCGCCGCACAGTCCCCAGGGGATTGCACTTCCTCCCTGGACAGAAAGAATTTAGGAGGGACGCGAGCTGGGTCCGGGAGGACAGGCCGTCTGGGCACTGGCACACACGAACGAGCAGGTTGCTCAGCCGAAACTGAGGCCTCGGCGGGCGGCGGCAGTCGCGGAAGACTGCAGGTGCGAAACTTCCCTTTCGGGAAGAGCTTCGGGCGCAGTGAGCGGCGGGAGGGGGGGGGGGACGGCATCCAGAGCCCCAGCCGCGCGCGGGAAGGGGTCGAACGTGCCGGCGGAGCGGGTGAACATTCCAGGCCGGTCCCCGCGCTCCCCTCGGCAGGACACGCGCTAGCCTCCCGTCCCCACCGGCTCCCGCCCCCCCCCCCGGGGGCTCCCCTCGC